TTTATTGTTTTGTGTTTACTGACCTCAAAAGAATTGAAATTAGTCTAAAAGAGAAAGAAAGGGATAGAAGGGTGAGGCCATTTCGTAAAATTGAGCCAAATTCAAATTACAGGGATTATCTTTGAATCACTATTATATATTTTTAAGCACCGGTACTGAGTAGCCATGTTTTGTCCTACAAAATTTGCACAAAGAATGTCAAAAGTATGTTGCAATTATAACAATATTGTTAGCAATATGGTCGAACGGCGATTACACAACCGAAAATAGCCATGCTTTTTGCTTGGTGAAATAACTGATTTATACTGTAAGATGGTCTGTGGAAAACAATGTCTCTATTTAGTCTCCATTTCTATGTAAGGTGAATCCAATAGGTGATTTTTTTTTTTATCAAAACAGTATAACCAAAGTCCCTTAATAATCGGTCGTGCAATCTATCTTCGACAATCGCCGCTCGCCGTTCTTCCCGACGTTTTTTTTTTGAAATAGCTGCATGATACTCCACTTTAGGTTGGAAAACGTTAACAAGCGTAGACTCACACATCATTAGTAAGACCAAAAGAAAGCTCAGAATAGTATCCTCGCATAAAATTAAGGCATTGTAGGATATGTTTGTGACAATGCACGACGGATATTCTTTGTTTACTTTAGAGTCTGATCCCACAATGCATTGAAAATCAAGTTGCGACGCAAAATGTTCAAAGTTAATTATGTGATGTTTATCACCACATCCTCCAAAACTAAACTGTCATGGAAGCGCACATAGAAACTTATAATTCGCCCAAAAAGGTTGGTATGCATGAGCTGTTAATTCCTTTTTAAAAATGCCTTCCATACAATTTCGAGCAAAAAACGGGGTGTGAAATTAATTTTAGGGGAAAAAAAGATCCACAAGGGCACTGCAGCGACCGTGCCAATCGATCCATATATATTATTATTCATTATGAATACTAATACCAACTGCTGCTTCGAGATCTCAAGCGGAAAGGAAACTTCTAGTGTGTTACAATGCTGTATGGAGTGGAGATAATAGAATGCTCTAACGGTTCGCTGAAGTTCGGGAGGGGAAAAAAGCGAAGGAAATACATATAACAGAAATATATTGATTTATTGCATCTCCACCAAGGTTTTCAGTTTTCATAATTTTGAATAAAGAAGCACCGTTTGTTGTTTTCCAATTCCCGAACGGCTTTCTGAAGTAAAAGCTTTTCAAATTGTCTTTGTTTGCTTTTCATGGCATTCCTAATGGGCCTAATTCATAAGTTTTATAAGTATGTTATCTTCCAAGGAATCGCATCAGAA